CCATAGTAGCGAGGTTTCCGAACCACATGTGCGCCAGTTCATGGGCCACCGTATTTGCAATGTCCTCCTTCACGGACGACGAAGACTTGGTTTCGTCCAGCAATAAACGAACTTCGCGGTACGTTATCAGGCCCCAGTTTTCCATCGCACCTTAAACCAGCAGACTTGCTGTAAAGTGACGCAAAAACAAGCATCGCCGTTATGCAATTAGCTCGCTCAGCCGCTCTCAGTAAGGCGGCCTCAATGACTACGGAAGCAACTTTCCTATAAGCTGGCTGATGATCAGCCGCTGGAATGCGCAAATTCATTTTTACCACGAGGCAGGAGGCAAGCCTGACCTGTACCTCAAAATCTGGGATGCATTTTGGCAGACCAACAACATTCCGGCTTTTCCACCGTCTGCGGCCAACTGGTTTACCAGCCAAAAATGTAAACTTAAATTCTTCGTGCTAGAATAAAAACCTCTTTAATTTGGGCGTTCAGAGCTAACAGCAACATCAATAAATCGTGCGCGCGCACAAAGCGCGCAAGCTGAACGTGTTTACCATTCAGCACTGAAATCTGACGACGCAGCCGCACGCGCTCCCGCTTGCAGGTCGCCTCGGCAAGCAGCGAACTTAACCATGTTATGGTAAGGCAAGCAGCAACTAATGGGTATGGCGCAAGGAAGCGTGAGCGGCTATTTTACTCATATTTAAACAGAACGAAACAGAATACAAAAATGGCGAACTAAACGGTTAAGCATTTAGTACTAACAACATATAAACATTTCAACGCGGCTAAGAAACGCTGAGGTAGCATGATGATCGACTTCCCTGATCCCTTTAACTGAATCGTTGGTACCCTGGGAAACAAGCAAATTAACGATTTAGACGACCTCTGACAAGGCAGAACAGAACAATTATGCAGTAAATGAAGAAACGCCAGGTAAATGATATTACTGATTGCATACAGTTACGACGAACGAAGTCAGACATCCGAATTTAGTGAAAAACATACGCCACAAAGATGTTACTCTGGATAAAAAATATTCGCCCAATAAGCCATATCATGCACATAAATCCAACTGATTTGAGGGGTATTAGATAAATTTTCTTTCTAAATTACAGACCGTGGAGATTGAAAGTAGAAATTGTCAGGCGCGACTGGATTAATCTTCACAAACCACAATAATACACGCATTTGATGAGACAGTTGTAGGTGAGACAGTTATGGTTATAGCGACCAAAAAGGATGGCAAATCTGCTCCAATTCGAAAAGAGACCAGATGAGATACTTATGTTATGTCGAAGCGTCGCACAGACGAACATGTACGTCGCAGCTACAAGGAAAAGTAATGAATCAAGTAAATCCCAAATAATCCTAAGTGGACGTAAGCGTTCACATCGTATATTCCAAGAAAATGTGAAAATTCATTACTTCAGTGGTAAGCAAAAAACTCTTGTAAGCAGTAACAAATTACGGCCGCAAAAGTAATTCTGGTGTAATTCCAGATTAACTCCGTTAAGGAAAATAACACGAATCCTTACGCTGGATCTCGTTCACAACAGATATAGGTCGTGAATATGCTGAAAACGAAGCAGAATATCAGAATGGTTGTTGAATGATGAAATAAGAATTTCTCAGGAGCGAATTATTTCTCACGTATCCATGTAAATCCAGATGAATTCTTCTGCAAGTACAGGCAGTCAAGTGCAAAACCGTCGGCTACACGTTAATTCGCGACATGATAAATGTCATTCGTTCCAACAGTTTCGTTTGTTATCGTCATGGAAATGAAACTGATCAGATAGCGCGTTTAAAATAATTTGTCGTCACTGTTGCTAGTCGTCCAAGATAAATTCGTTATCTGTCGTATCACCATTAATCCGTCAGGTAATGCTTGTCATTTCGCTTTCGAATCCAGCCATAACACAATTGTACTTAGATATAGAGAATAACAAAAGGTGATGACGAATACCGTCAGTAATAGTCGTGTATGTCTGCGACGTTTTCTGGCTACGCAGTTCAAAAATGAAATATTCCATCCTAACCAGTAAATCTGTTAGCATGAACGATGCTAACAAAGATGTTTCAACGTTTTGACAGTCCGATGGTTCTTCCAAAACAGAGCCAAGAATTTCCTGTCTTATAAATTTCATTCCCATCAATGCCGTTATACTGTCTTTCATCAATTAGGTACAACTCATCAGTCGTCCGATCTGCCGTAAGTTTATCAATTTTTCAGCATAGAGAAACAGGCATCGTTTCTTCTGAATATTGCTCGACACCTCCAATGATAAAGCTGTAACACAAAGTGCTCGGCAATGCGTCAAAGCGGATTGTGATCAGCTCCGATAGTTCAGATATTTCAGATCTTCCGTCAGTCATGCAACGTCAAATGTTACCTCAGGACAAAAAGTATAATCTGTCGTAAAACGTAGTCGTCGCCCTTTCCATGTCGCAGAATTATTCAGTCGTCGTTCAAGTATTTAATTTCGCGTTTCGCTTACGTCTATTTAGTTCATTCATGATGAAACTTATGCTTTTACGACTCTCCTTGTACTTTTCGCTGAAATTCTTCACGTCGGAATCAGTCATAAAAATCGTAAAACTGATCAGTCGAGGACATCAAACTCTCACTGCTTCAGCATATCAGGGTCGCGGTACAGCGGCCGTAACACAGTAACGTCGCAAAGATTCGACGCTAAAACAGTCGTTGACAATTCCTCGAAATAAAATCAAATCGTGCAGTGATAACAGAAAATTCGCTGCTCGAAGAGGAACGAAATGTAATAATCCGACTAATCCTAGGAAACAGGGTGGCTAACGAATTAATACGTAGATATGGATGTTGAAAAATGATCGAGGAAAGAAAGGGCTCCATGCAAAGATTGAACTACTGTTTGGACATGGCAGATCGCAGTGCTAAGAACCGATATCGTAACATCAATGGAAAATTTATGATGTAGCAAGTGATCAATTTATTGAAAATAAACCATAAATCATCAGAGATAATACGATGATACAGAATGGTTACCAAGTGTTAAAAGATGAACAGTTAAACGTAATTCAATTCCGAACTAAGCTATTTGCAAAAAATAGCATTCACTCCGCTAGATAAGGTTGCCACAACTGAGATCCGTTCATAGAATAGAAAATTAAGGAAAGAACAAAATCATCAATCCACGAAGTAGCTATATGTAAGGCTTCTTCCCTGGGAGTAGCACCGTCACACTGTAACTGGACAGAGGGACAAGAGTCGCATTATGGGCAACAAACGCAACACTGAAGGACAGACGACAGTCGATCGGAAGCAAAAGCAGAATCTTCGAATTTATTAATAAATTACATAGCGCCGTGTACGCGGCAGCAAAAGCCTAAAGTTTACCAGAATCGATCACAGCACACAGCATCGAAAACAACAGTCGGTGGAATATATCTGCTTGCCGCAAAATCTTATTCAGGGTCATCCAGCAATAAACATTTACTCAACGATTTAAAACTAATCAAGACAATTGTTCAGTATTGCGATTCAGTATACAGTAAGAATAAGTGTAAAACAGACGAACCACGCTTCAAACTCAGCAACTTGGCGCAACAGCAACAAAACAGTCATGACAACAAAACTACGATGCAACTTGCCAAACTGCATGGCAAAGGTGAGATTTGAGATCCATGACGGACTCCCCTTATGCAACAGGCCTAGGAAGAACAGGCAGCTCGACCATAATGATCCATTTGCACTGATACGCCATTAAATCTGGTCCACAGAGCTTACCTCACTGACGGAGAACGGGAGCGACTGGAAGAAACAGAAAAAACCTGCAACCGTTGGGAGGGTCGGTCGCCATTACATTACATTAAGGCATTATTTGTGAGACTCTTATTTCATTAAACTATTTGCGCGTCGCTGGTCTTCATTACAACGCCATCATTCGTAGGTGTCCTGTGTCTGAAATGAATGTCTATGGCAGTTGACCTCTACCGGGCTTAGTCGTCTTTTTCATTCTCACTATGTACGTGTCAGAAAGACGATACGAATGACCTGACTTCTCGAATGGATTTGGAAGTCAGTTTTTCTTTCAACTGTCAAGTCAGACCTTTCACTTACTAGTGGAAGTTTTTTTTTTT